GAAATGGCTGTAACCATACATTGACAGAGAACTAGCAGAGGTTCAAGCTGGATTCAGAAGAGGACGTGAAACGAGGGAGATCATTGCTGACATCAAATGGATCTTGGCTGAAAGCAGAGAATACCAGAAAGATGTTTGCCTGTGCTTTATTGACAACACAAAGGCCTTTGATTGTGTGGATCATGAGAAGCTTTGGACAACATTGTAAAGTATGAGAATTCTGGAACACTTAACTGTGCTCATGAGGAACCTGTACATAGACCAAGGGGTCAATAGCTCAAACAGAACATGGGAACACTGAATGGTTTTAAAGTAGGAAAGTTGTGTGACAGGATTGTATTCTTTCACCATACTTATTCAGTCTGTATGCTGAGTATATAATCCAAAAAGCTGGGCTATATGAAGAAAAAATGTGGCATCAGGATTGGAGGAAGACTCATTAATAACCTGTGATATGCAGATCTTACAACCTTGCTTGCTGAAAGTTAAGACTTAAAGTACTTACTGAAGAAGATCAAAGACCACAGCTTTCCATATGGATTGCATCTCATTGTAAAGAAAACAAAAATCTCACCACTGGACCAATAAACAACATTCTTATCAATGGAAAAATGATTGAAGTTGCCAAAGACTTCATTTTTCTTGGATCAACACTAATGGAAGCAGCAGTCAAGAAACCAAACTACGCATTGCATTAGGCAAATCTGCTGCACAAGACCCTTTTAAAATGTTGAAGACCAAAGATGTCAGCTTAAGGACTAAGGTACGCCTGTCCCAAGCCATGGTATTTTCAATAACCTCATATGCATGTGAAAGCTGGACAGTGAATACGGAAGACCATAGAAGAATTGATGCATTTGAGTTATGGTGTTGGAATAGAATACTGAAGGTACCATGGGCTGCCAAAAGAACAGACAGATTTATGTTGGAAGAAGTGCAGCCAGAGTGCTCCTTGGAGGCCAGGATGGCCAGTCTTTGTCTCTCATACTTTGGACATATTGTCTGGAGGGACCAGTCACTAGAAAGGGATATCATGTTTGGTAATGTCAGAAAAAAAGAGGAAGACCCCCAGCGAGATGGATTGGGGTGCTAAAATGGCAGCATCAATGGGCTCAAGCGTGGTAACAATTGTGAGGTTGGCCCAGGACCGGGAAGTGTTTCGTTCTGTTGTGCATAGGGTCACTATGAATCGGTACCGACTAGATGGCATCTAACAACAACATGAGTAGGAACCGACTCCACAGCACAATTATTTCTCCAAGGAACGCTGGTTGCTTTTATGTCCTGCCTACCCACTGCTTTCCAGTAGATGGCGATACGCTGGTTGCTTTTATAGTCCTGCCTACCCACTGCCTTCCAGTAGATGGCGATAGTACTACTCTAGGCTGTAAATCATTAGAGATGCAAACATCTTGTGGGTTTAAACAGCCAACCTTCTGATTAGCAGCCCAACGCTTATTTAGTCCCGAGGAAGATGGAAATCCATATGAACGTCGGAACGACTGGTTATTTCTGGAGCACTCAGCAGGGGAGGAGGTCTCAAAAACACTAGAAAGCTGACTACTGGGATATGGATGAAAAGGGTCTGGAGCAAAAGAATTGAGGAGCGTCTAGAACCACCCTCTAGAGGGTGGCTGATGTGTAACAAATACACCGAAGAAACAGCTGAGCTAAAGCCAGTCCAGAAGTAATTTTCCTATTAGAGTTCCTTGACTGGTGAGAACATTTGTCGTGTGTCACAATGTTATAGGGAGTGTAGCCAGCCCGGCCACTAGCATTTCAAGGTGACTCAACATCTGAAATACATTTCAATCTGCCTCCACCTCGACAGAGTAACTATGGGGGGGAGTGGGGGTGGGTGGAGAGAGACACTCCAGTGAGAAAGGCCCAAGCCTTTTCCATAGGACAATCTCTTCCACAGCTGCCGCCAAGCTTATTTTCTACCACGCAGCGGTCACCTGGTCTGCCTCAAGTTTCTGAACGCTTGGCTCCGCATCCATGTTTCACAGACAACCTAACAGGATCGTTAGGGGATTAACTTCTAGCCAGTGCCTTAATCAGATGAGTTTCATTATTAAACTGTATTTTTCACTTTAGAGAGTTCTGGGTAGTGGTTACGAATTGGGTTGCTAACCTCAAGGTCAGCAGTTCAAAACTACCCGCTGTTCCACGGAAGAAAGATGAGGCTTTCTGCTCAGGTAAAGACTTACAGCCTCTGAAATCTGTACAGGGTCGCTGAGTCGGAACCGACTCCATGGCACACCACCACTATTTTTTAATTTGAGCCCTTATCTTGGAGTGTCCCTATTAAGCCATATAAATGCTACAAGTCCTTTCCCAGATGTGTTATTACTTCGATGTTGTGTTCCTTGGATTCTGATTCATAGCGATCCCATATGACATAGAACTGCTTGAGACTTCTTAGGCTGCAACCTTTATGGAAACAGATTGCCAAGTCTTCAGGGAACCAACCAACATTTTGGTTCAGTCATGCATTTAGCCATGGCGCCACCAGGGCACTTTATTACTTTAAAACTACTTGTTATATGGCATCTTGGTTTGGCGCTATAGGATAAACACTGGACTGCTAACTGCTAGGTCAATGGTTCAAACCCACCAGTTGCTCATGGGAAACCCACTGCTGTTCAAACTGACTGAAAGGCACATCACAGTACCACACAAATCTTTTATACATAAGCAGCTAACCTTTTCCTCAGTCTCTCTACCCATTTTCCACTGCTAATTATTTCAGTGTACATCCCTCCATCCTTTCTTATCCATAGCCGTAACCACACAAAATAATTTGGACTTGTTGGGTATTTTTGTTTACGAGGAGGGGAACCCTCTATAGGATGGATTGGTGCAGTGGCAGCAGCAGTGAGCTCAAGTGTGATAAGTTGTGAAGATGGTAGCTAGGGCAGTATTTGGTTCTATTGTGCTTGGGGTCTGAGTCCAGATGACTCAGTGGCACCTAACAACCTCTTAAGATCTAATTCATACATATTTTAATATTTTGTTGTGTGCTCTTGAATCGGTTTATAGCGACAATGATAGGATTTTCAAAGAGCTGGTGAGTTTGAACCACTGACCTTGCAGTTCAAAACTGACCTTGAGGTTGAGTGCTTAGCCTAAGGCACCACACACCAGGACTCCACATATTTTAATAGCTGCATTATATTTATAAATGTACCAGTTTTATTTTAAATGTTTCACACTATTATAAACAAAGCTGAAGTAAATTTTCTTGTATATATATGTACACATATGCATGTTTTTAGGATAAATGCTTTATGAGTTGAATTAAGGGAGATTTAGGAGTTGTGGGAGTGATACCAGAGGCCACAGGGCACCTGAAGCCACATATCTGAAACCTTTTGGATCTTTACCTTCATAAGTAATTTCAACTGGCAATTCCATTAGAATGTAAATTCCAGGATGATCAGATCTTGATACCTTGTCCCAGAAGATAATACCTAGAACACGTTCATGAACATCAGAAAAAGGCATATTCCTAAAGCAGAATGCAAAATTTCATCAATTTTCGAAAGGCCTCAAATACTGAAGTTTTTCTTCATGAAAATGCTCCCTGGAATAGCTCTGGGATCCTGAATTTCTATCCCATTTCCTTCCTCCCTCTTCCAAGCTACCACCTTGAGCCCTTCTGAACATTCATAATCTAGATCAATTCAAACCACTTACCAATCCCAAGATAATTTAAGAGAACCTAGAATTCAGAATTATAAGCAAAGATAACCAAAGGTAATGTTCCACTGTACCAAAGAGAGAAAGAAATACAAGAATATGAAGCTAACTTCAGTTACATGGTTTCTTAAGGATTAATACTGAACCACAGGAGGAATTCGCCTCCCTGAAATCTTCTCCTTCCTGACTGAGAAAGGGTAGCAAAATGACCCAGTCAACAAGGGTAAATTCTTAATCAAAGGTGTGGTGAAGTTTAGGTACTCACTATTCTGTCCCCAATTAGTCAACAAACACTGTATATAAATTTTGAGCCAGGACTCTAGTCAATAGGTAAAGACATAATCAAGTAGTGTTTCTAGTGCCAAGATTCAAGACCAGAAATAAGTTAGGAAAAAGGCAGAGGAATTTTGTACAGTAGTCCAAAGGAACCCCAAATCATTTAGATACTACAAAAAAAGAGTGTGAGGAATAAGATGAGTCAGAGAGTAAACAAGCCACGTGGTGGCAGCCTTGTTATACTTTTCTGGGTACAGAACCAGCATAAGTGATCAAAAAATTTCATCTGCTTAAAGTAGGGGTAATTAGACTGAGAATTCATTTTTTTTTTCTTTTTGTTTCTTCTGCATTCCCTGAACCTAGCATAACACCTAATATTAGATTTTTTTTTTTAAGTAAGCCAGTCTGACATCTAATTTTCAAGTTAGGCCAAAGTAGGGAAGGCACTTTTTCTCAGTGGTTCTCAACTGGAGACAGAGAAGGACTCCCCCCCCGCCCCACCACCACCACCACCCCACCTCTCCAGAGACTGTCACAACTTGAAGGCTTGCTACTGGCATCTAGTAGTTTAGATACCAGGGATGCAGCTAAACATCCTATAGCATGCAGGACAGCCCTCACACCACCATTATCTGGACCAAAATGTTGAAGTAGTCCTATACCTAAATCCTGAAACTCAACCCTGAGCTCTGCTATTGCAGAAGATCAAAGGAGGTGGAAATTATACAGAAAGTTTTGTCCAGATTCCTGTAAGTGCGATATGGACCATCAGAGGAAAATACCATTCAGGTTGAAGGAACCTAAACAAACAAAAGATGGCTCAAATCAAGGGAGAATGAAAAATAGTTCTATATGGAAATCCTCAATGTGGGAAGGAAAGACAAACACAAACACAGTAAGAATATGGAATATTCCCACCAAATGTGAAACAGACCCAGTTAATGCCATTTATTATAAATATTGAACAGCCTCTGAGACCCAGGGGCTCCCATAGTGAGGTTATTTATTTCTTTTTCTTTTTTGCATCAAACAGGTTCTTCTAAGAGCCTGCTCACAAGGAAGACAAAAACAGAACTCCTCAATAAAATGAAACAAACATGAGAAGCTGAAACAGTCTGCATCTGAACAACAGTTAAAAAACTCACCGGACACAAACCACACCAAACACTCATCCCATTTAGTTTCCTGTTACATGCTCTGAGGAAGTTGAGAACATCAGGCCCCAGCGCAGCAATCCTCTGGGGTTCTAGCTCAGGTCCCTCTATGTGACAGATTCATGCACACACAGCCACACACACTGACCCAGGCAAAAGTACACATGCATGCACAGGTGGCTAAAGAACCACAGGGCAAGATGGGAGAGGGAGAGGGATAGGGCTGGTCAGGGATATGCCATCAACTGGAACCTGGGGGTACTCGGAGAACCCTTCTGCTGCAGGCTGAGCTAAGAGTCCAAATTTAAAAGGCAGAAGACAGGATAAACACATAATGCTCAGACAAGGAACTGGGTAAATGTAGAGGCAAAGATGCAGGGGGAGTTTTGGGAAAGCAACCTCAGCAGGGGAGGCTGCTTAATTGGGAATTCAGATGGGCAGAGGTACTGTGACTCCAGTGATATACTGAGGATGAAGGAATGTGCCACAGTATTACCTCTGTTGTCTTGTGCCCTCTCCCAAGGTAGAGAGAAACCACATTCACCCTCTAACTCTCACCATTGCCATTCTTAAGGACTTTCCCCAAGTGCCCAAAAAAGAAATGACCCCGACACATACAAAATTAGGCCTAGCAAAGGGCCAACCATAGAAAGCCTCAGTAACTCTTCTTGGTAGAACCAAAGCCAGAGAAGCCCATCACAGCTGCCATCTCATCATCCTCCTCAAATGTCAAGTCCTCCTCAGCCCTCCTTTTCTTCTCCTTCTGTTTCTCTTTCTTATAGGCTTTGGCCTTTTCTTCCTGCGGGGGGAGGGAAAATCACTCAGAATTAGTTCAGAGTCCTGACTCAAACAGGTGTTCAAAGAGACAGGTGAGCTTCAAGATTCCTTTGTATCTTTAGGAGAAAATAGTTATAGACAAGTAAAATGAAAAGAGCAGACGAAAAGCCACAGTAAAGATTATAAAGGAGAATAAAGAGATGTCTTAGCCTCTGGAAAAAGACTTTTCAATCCTAAAACTAGGTGTATCTCTAGTTCTTAACAGGAGTTAAGGAACAAAACCATACACAGCAACTAACATTCTAGGGCATGTAGATACGCCAGGAACTGTTCCAAGTGCTTTATGTATACTGAACTTAATATATAAACTCTAATACAGGAAAACTAGGAGATTAAGTAACAAGCCTAAGATTAACAGTCAGTAATTGGAGGAAACAGAATTCCAACCCAGAAAAGGCTGGTTTCCAAGTTCTCTCAGACTAAATACATTTAGTTAATCCCTTCTGTAGGAAAAAAAAATTACGGCTCAGAGGGTTCAAGACAAAAGGGGACCCATTACCATCAGTCTATGAGAGTCCCAAACAAGGGTAATAAATGTGTTTCCTATAAATAGACATTCAGAAGAAACAACTAACCTCTAGGGGTAGAAATGGGATTAGGAAGAGGGCCTTCTATGACTCATGATATAAAATTCCAGGCTGGGTGCAAAGAGGGGAGTGAAGCATTACCTCTTCTCTGAGCTCCTTCATTCTTTCCTCAAAATCATAATCCTTTTGCTTCTCTTCCATCTTCTTCTTGTTGACTTCAAAGCGTTTTTTCACCTGATCCAGGGTGGAACGTTCTACACGCATAGACATGCCCAGGTTTCGTTGATCTGGGTGGAATCAATAAGGAAAAATGCAACATTACTACAATGTCCTAAGCCACTCAAAAAGTCATCCTGATTTAAAAACAAAACAAAAAACGTTTAAAACACACAGCAAAATAATTATGGTAAAAACAGATTCCCATGGCTGCACCTTTCCCAGAAGCAGTAGCCCCAGGTAGCAAGATGCAAGTGACTTTCAACTCCCCTTACTAAGCAGGATAGACGGTATTTGTGGGGTAGCTGGGCATAGGATAAGAGCATGGTTTGGGCTTGTTGAGAGCCTAGAACAGTAACTCATTCAAGGTTTCCAGAAAGAAAGGGGGCACAATAAAAAGCACACTCTCCTGGCACCCTTACCTCCAAAACCCAATCCCAGCCTGTCACAAACTACCTCCAAGCCTTACGTTTCTTTCCATTAATGTGATCCAGGAAGTTGATGGAGTCCTTCACCACACAGTCACAGACATTGCAGTAATATCTACCAAACAAGAAGAAAGGCGTTGTCAATAGTCCTGATCTGCTTGTAAGGATCTTATTGTTTTCAATCAAGAAACTCCTCATTTTAGGTAAAACATTCTCAATCTTTTTTAGAATAAAGAGCCAGTTCTCATTTCAATAAAGCCTTAATTCTTGGGAGAGTACAGAACTCAGCCTCCAACACAATCCCTGCCTCATGGTATTCTCTCCCACATTGTATAAGGATTAGTCTTGAGACTAACAATGCAGAAAAAATGACGATATGTCACTTCCAGGATCTGGTCATAAAAAACTATGGCTATATCTTATTCCATCCACCTATCCCTCCCTTCTGGATTACTTGCCCTGATAAAGTCAGCTGCCTTGTCATGAGCAGCCCTCTAAAAAAGCCTCCAACCAACAGTCATATTAGATATCTTGGGAGCAGATCCTTCAGTTCCACCACAGCATCCAATGACTGGAGTCCCAGCCAACACCTTGATTGGAGCTTTGAGGGAGTCTCTGAGCCATAACCATAGACCTTAACTACATCCAGATCCTTTACCCCTAGAAAAATGTGAGCTATTTAATGTTTAAACTAAGTTTGGGAGCAATTTGTTATATAGCAATAGATAACTAATAGAGAAATTACAACAGTGATAAACCCTTGTGGGACCCTTCTTATAAATTATGGTCTTGATCTGGTAGAAAGGTACACAACCAGGCAATCCATAACCTCAGCCCCTTTCTTCACCATCAACAGCTCCTAAGGTCCATTCTGTTGTCAGGTGCTGTTAAGTCAGTTCTGACTCATAGCAACCCTAAACAAACACTACCCAGTCCTACACCATCCTAGCTCTACCTAATTTCTCCCTTAGAAATCGCTATGTTAGTTCTTTCAATTTTTCTTGTAGGCTTTAGCCTTCTCTTCCTATGGTAGAAGGGAAAAATTACTCAGAATTAATTCAGAGTCCTGAGTCAAACAGGTTTCCAAAGAGACAGGTGAGCTTCAAAATTTCTATCTTTAGGAGAAAATAGTTACAGACAAGTAAAATCAAAAGAGCAGAAGAAAATCATCAGTAAAGATAATAAGGGAGAAGAAACATCTTAGCCTCTGGAGAACAAATTATTTTAAGATATTAAGAAGTAGTTAAAGTACTGATATGTAGAAGCCTATGGAGTGACCCCCCTCCTAAAGACATTATTTGTTCACTTGAGCTAAATCTAAGAACGGAATCACAGACAAAAAGGTAGTTATCCTGGAGCCAAGGGTCTTTCTCAGTGCTTCCTAAAACCAGCAGTTTATTTAGATCCAATGTCGGCTGCAGAGAAAGACGAATAGCAACTCACCCTCCCATCTCAGATTGCGGAGTGGTCTTGGTAATGACAATTGTCTTCCCAAGCTTGGATTCCAGGTCCACCTTGTAGTCCCTGTGCCGCAGAAGCTCCCGCTTGACAGGCTGCACTGGTTTTCCTGAAACATAATGAAGAGCCCATTCCATATCACAGTTCCTCAACCAGAAAAGAAAAAGTATGGAACCAGAAACTCAAAACTCTACTATCATTTCTTTTTTGACTCCTTCAGCAAGGGACATACTGGGCCCTTTTAGGTACAACTAGGAAGAACCTAAAGAAAGGAATAAATGATAAGAAATCCCCAATTTTCTACACCTTTTCTCCAATTTCAGGCAAATAAACTTAAAAGCATCATGTTTTCTATTCATTGATGAACTGGGTTGAAGGGAAGAGTATGCACGAAAACAACCTTTTGAAAGAACAGTAAAGACACTTAGGAATGCTCTCAGGCAGATACCCTAATCATAACACAGATAGTAGCATTCAGAAAGCTGCTTCAGATAAAAGGGAGAGAAGGTGGGAGACAGAATCAGCATTTAAGAAGTTCCTGTAATATGCCCAAAACTATCATGCATGTTACATTTAAAAAAACAAAAACAGTTGATGGTGCAAGGTGATGTGATAATGGTGGTGGTGATGTGCCGTGGAGTCGGTTCCGACTCATAGCAACTTTCCAAGGCTATATATAAATCTTTACGGGAGCAGAAAGCCTCATCTTTCTTCTGCAGAGCCACTGGTAGTTTCAAACTGCTGACCTTGAAGTTAGCAGCCTGACTCCTAACAACTACACTACCAGAGTTCCCTCATCCCCTGATAATGGTAGGATACACAAATGTTGACAACAGACAAGAAAAAGAGGCATTTCTTTCTGTAAAGTGGGATCTTTATGTAGAAAAGGTGCACCAACTCCCACACTGTGCAAAGCAGACACTGCATTACTAAACACTAACTCAAACAGTTCCCTGATGAATACTCTTACTGTTCTCTGACTATCTGGGAGGATCTCAACTAGGCCAGAAATGTTCTCCTGCTCCTAATTTCAAGCCAAAGAAGAGGTTGTCAATAGCAGTTATGTACAGCAACAATACATTCAACTGAGCTTCTTCTCTGACAGTACTAGGAACTCCAAACTCCTCTGTACATCAAGAAAGCACTAAATGAGCTAAGCTAAGAAATGACAATAAAGCAAAAGGCAACAGACATAGAAAACTTGTAAGTCCGTCTTCTACCTATAACTGATTGGAATATATAAATGGGGTTACATCGTGCCCAGTGAAGGAGGCTTCCTGTGGAGCCTCAGCATTACATAAGACCAAAGGTGGAATCCTGAACTGCATCCAGAATCTTCAGAGGTAAGAAATTTCCACTTGAAAGGACAAGCAGACCAGCCTGGAGCAGCTAGAACAGAAGATGCTTCTTGAAAGAAAGACCAACAGGAAAAATACAAAACAATAACAGCAGTCTAGTTGCTCACCCAGGAGACATCAAGGCAAGTGGTAGGGTCCCCTCAGGGCAAACCCCCTTCCAAGACTAAGACTCAATGGGAATACACGCTCTGATTGGTGACCATGTTCTTCATCGATAAGGGGAAGTGAGGGAAAAACAGCAATGAAGCTGCAAGCTAAGCCCTACAATGTTCAACAGACTCTTGTGAACCCAGGTGGAGACCTGGTCAGCCAGCAGTGTGGCAAGACCTGGGGACTCTTGGGCCCAGAGTCAGTGATACAGCCACCGAGGACTAGAGTGGAGAGTGAAGTATCCAGCTGATAAGAAGAGAGGGCATATACACAAGAACACCCACATTTGCAGACAATACCCACTTGACCTGGCTTCAATGACTAGATGATCAGGTATCAATTTGAAGAAGAAAGAAGAGGGAAATAAAGAGTAATCTGATATAATTTGATGAACTTGACCTACACCTATGGATGCAGTAGCTCAAAAGAGAGAACAAATCTTTACAGCTAGGATCATTCCCACTCCCTCCATACACAGAGTAGACAGGGATGGGCAACTTGGATATTGGCTACCCAAAATGGGGGTGAGGGTGGGGGGAGAGCTACAAAGGCAAGAAGTGACTGGCTTACAAGCTTTCAAGAGGGAGCCTAGATCCGGAGGGCCTGGAGGAAGGTAGAATCTCCACTGAGTTGTATCCTATCTGTCTAGGCAGGGCTGATGAAAGAAATGCGGATATGTCTCTTATGATACAATAGTGAATACTTGTTATCAGACTGATTGTATGGGTTGGAAATGTAAACTTAGACGTTTTGTAGCAAAAGGAGAGGAGTGATCGACTTTGCAGACTTAGACGTTTTGTAGCAAAAGGAGAGGAGTGGAGGTCCCTGGGACCATCAAGGGAGAAGACCTGAGAGCAGGACCCTACCCAGAGAAGCAGTGATGCCTGAGATGGAGGCAGAAATGATGACATGGAGAGATGGAGCAGCTGGGGATTTTAGACCCAGAGAGGGACAGGGTCTGTGCGCTGATGACCAGGGGGGATAGGCTTTGGTTGGTTGATGATGCATGGAGGAAACTGTAACAATGGCAATGAAACGATATACGACAGGATGAATGTAAAGCTAATGTTCTCCCATGTAAATTATCACATAATTCACAATAAAACATTAAAAAAAAAAAAAGGTAATAGAGCTGAAAACGATTTAAAAAAATCACTTCAGTCCACGACCTTGCCCCCACTTTATATATGAAGAAATTGAAGATCTAGGCGGAAACGCTCCGCCAAAGATTTCAGGGTGGAAGGGAAAACGCATTTTAACTCCCCACTCAACTATTCTCATTTCATCATCTTTAAGAAACCCTTGGCCCTTGCTAGAGAAGGCACCCACCATCCTTCTTTTCTCTCTCTTCTGTGAGCCTCTTCTCGGCGAGCTTCTCATATTCATCTTTGTCCCACTTTCGGCGAAAGTCCAAGTTTTTTGTCTGTGGAGAGAAAAACAATCAAGATCCATCGCGAGGCGTAGAATAACCCATAAATAAACTGAAGGAACCGCATCCTCGTTGCCAAGGTATTCCCAGCACCTTTTGAGAGCGAAGTCTCTCCACACCGGTGTAAGGAGGCTCGGGTGGCCTCGGGACCCTAACCCAAGACCTCGGCGATTCCACTGATCCTGAGCCCGCGCGTTAAGGAAGAGCTCTGGAACCCACACTCTGGGATGGTGAGGAGATATCGAATAGACAGTTCCGTTCAGGAGTCCTCCTCTATTCCGTCCAGAGAAGCCCACCAAAACCTCCTCCTCACAGACAACACTTACCCCGCTACCCGACGCCATCTTCACTGCGAAGTGAATGGGAAGCTGGAAAATGTCGTAAAACGATACTTTCCGCCGTAAAGTAAACCCGTCCTCCAATAAGCTTTAAGTGTCGTTTTCTCACCGAGCTAAGGCCGGGAGGGTTGGCGCAAGCGCAATGGGAACATGAAGCTACGCGGAAGTAAGGGCGCCTGCAAACGTTTTCTTGCCCTGATAGTCACTGAATGGCTGCTAGGTTTAGTTCACAAACGAGGAAATGTGAAATTCAGAAAGTATCCTCTAATTTAGCCTAATCAATTTTTGTAGCATTGTCATGAGCTTCAAATCAGTCTTCAAGGCTAAAGCTCTAACTAGGTATTCTATATGCCTCATTCACTTGTATGCACTAGGGATGTAGCCCCCTAATCCACACCTGTTTGCAATGGCCAAAACGGTATGGGAAGCATTTTTTTGCACCTTGTCTCCTTTTCTTGAAGCAGTGCTATCAGCCTTTGGTTGACTCATTTTTCCTTGAGTGCTGTTGAGTCGTTTTCTGACCTAGAGCGACCCTGTATAGGGTTTCCTAGGAGCAGCTGGTGACCTTGGACCACCGACCTTGCGGTTCAAACCTACTTTGCATTCCAGTGCACTAACCCATAGCGCCACTGAATATCATGGTCATCCATAATTTAATCACATGATTGGACTTGTGAAGGTAAGTCATCAGTGCTGTAGGATGAACCGCTGACAAATGCTCACTGCATGCTTAGTTTTAGAAACATAAAAGACCAAAGTGGTTCCTCCCAGCTCTCAATTTAGCTTCCCAGTATATACTCAAAGCATTTTCTATGGAGTCCGGGTGTGACCCTGTGGGTCAATGCGCTGGGCTGCAAAGTTGGTGGTTCAAGCTCACCAGCCACTCCTATACAGGGTCACTGTGGGTCAGAACCAACTCAACGGCGCTTAACAACCCACCAGCGGCTGCTCGAAAACTCCAATACAAGGTCGCTGAGTCAGAAGCGACTCCATGGCACTTAACAACATGTAAGTTCCCTGGTAAATTGTCCTGCTGGCACTGAGTTACATGTTGGGCTGCTAACCATAAGGTTGGTGGCTCAAACCCACCAGCTGCTTCATGGGAGAAAGATGAGTCTGCTCCATAAAGATCTGCAGTTTTGGGAACTCTACATAGGGTCACACTATGAACTGGAATTGACTAGTTGAGTTGGCAACCGGTATGGTTTTTGGATTACTCCACTGATAACAAATTGCGCAAACTACTACATTTAATATTTTATTTAACATATCCAACCACTTAAAAAACTCAATTCTATGGCAAGGCACAGAATCGAACAGTAATTCTGACATAGGAAATTAACTCCAAAATCTCGAGAGATATTTCAAAGTTATCAAGTCATCTATTAAGTCCAGCAATTAAGATCATAAACAGACAGTCCTGCCCTGTTGTTAACAAGGGATGGGCTAGAGACACCAAATCAATCTGGACACTGCTTTACATCCAGCAGTTTAGCATTTCTATCTTCAGATATTAGAAGAAAGCAGCCATTGCTTCTTCTGTCTTCAAGAAGTGCCTTCTGGGAACCACAGGGAGGAAGCAGGGTAACTGTAGCTGCATAGAGGGGATTGTAATCATTGAGATGAAACAAAGTTTATGATTTGTTGAATGATGATCTTGTCTGTAAATCTTCACTCAAGTTTAAAAAAAAAAAAAAAAAGTGCCCTCTATATCACATACTGGACAGAATAAGGGTTGGTGGAGGACAACTCAGCATCAGCTTCAGAAGCTGCAGTGGAAGGTTAAATGTCTGGGTTCTGATCTCAATTCATCAGAATCTCTCAGCCAGAGGTGACTGTCACAGCAACTATTCTCAGCACCTCCTGGTGGCACTTCAAATCTGTCATCTGCCTTTGCAGTAAGAGCATGCCTTTAAGGTATCAGTTATCTGCCTCCATGCAGGACAGCTGCTCACACTCACTTGAGGTCATTGGACCAACCAGGAGTCCGTGCAGCTCTCTATATAATTCTGTATATAGGAAGGATGGAAGAGGCAGAAGGCATTTGTCACCCATCCTTGGACAGCAACTGTGATATCCATCAGAAACTCAATTCCATGTGAAACCTTTTCTACAAAGAACAGAAGATGGTAGCCAGGTAAAGGTCAAGATTCCAAAAGTCGCTTCTGAATTTCAGCCACAAGATGTTCTCGTTTAATGGCCACCTGAAACATAAAGAACCCTCATGTAACAAACTCAAAAGTGATACCACCTCCTTGTTATTGTTAATGCCATAAAGTTGGTTCCAACTCATAACGACCCACTATAGGATTTCCAAGGAGCGACTGGTGGGTTTGAAACACTGACCTTGTGGTTACAAGTCCAGTACTTATCCTATAGTGTCACACCAACACCTCCTTGGTGGTGGTGGTGGTGTGCCGTGGAGTCAGTTCCAACTCATAGCGACCCTGTATAGTGACACCTCCGTCACTGCTTTTCCACATTTTACCCTGCATCTGCTCCCACTAATTAAGCAACCAGTAGCGAGAAGTGTATTTTCAGTATCTTTTTTCGTATCATTCCATCATCATTAATACAACAAAATTTCTGAAAGATGGAACTTATGTAAGGTGGAAACCTGTCAGAGAAGAAAACTCACGAACAAGTGATATAACAGGTATAAGACTGCACCCTGTCAAAGGCAGAAAACTGATGAGCTCTGGAAAAACAACGCAATCCTAAAGCGTTCCAGCTCTCATAGGTTCCATTCAAAGCTTCCTAAATAAAAACTCATCCTCTCCAAATTCTGGTAACCATGCACAATCTTTGCTTTCTATATATTTAAGTCATATAAATGAGATCATATCATATAGATCTATTTGTAGAACTGATTTACTTTGTTCAATATAATGTTACTTGTGAGTTTGCATATTCTTATATATCTTTATGACTGAGTAGCATTCTGGCAGTGGCAACCAATGTGAAATTGGCTGGAGCTGCTGTGCCCATGTGTGCTCGAAGCCGCACTGTACCTCTGGATCCAGTTGCACTGCCCACTGCCCACGCACATTCCAATAATCCAATTGGCCTTAAACCCTCAGTGAAAATATATACATTATGATGTCTGTCAATTTGTTGTACTGTGGTGGCTTCTGAGTTGCTGTGATTCTGAAAACTAAGCCATGGGTATTTTAAATACCAGCAGTGTCACCCATGGTGGACAGGTTTCAGATAAGCTTCCAGACGAAAACAAACTAGGAAGGAGTGACGAACTATGTCTGAATATTTACTCACTGAAAACCTTATAAATAGCAGAGAAATGCTGTCAGATATAGTGCCAGAAAATGAACCCCTCAGGTTGGAAGGCACTCAAAATGCGACTGGGGAAGACCTGCCTCCTCAAAGTAGAGTTGACTGTGATGACAGAAATAGAGTAAAGTCCCTAAGACCTTCATTTGCTGATGGGACACAACTCTAAATGAAGAGAAACAGCTGTAAACATCCACTAATAATCAGAACATGGAATGTACCAAGCATAAATCTAGGAAAATCGGAAATTATCAAAAATGAAATGGAACACATAAACGTTGATATCTTAAGCATTAATGAGCTGAAATGGACTGGTATTGGCCATTTTGAATCTGACAACCACATGGTTTACTATGCCGGGAATGACAAATTGAAGAGGAATGGTGTTGCATTCAT